ACCTCACAAACTATGAGGACATTGATTTGATACTCATAAATAATAAACAAACGTCTTTAATTGAACCTGGAATTAAGGAACTTAACTTCTCCAACTCACTGATAATTCATTAAGAAAATACATGCCTGCATGGGGCGATACGAAAACGTAAATTCGGCTATAACAATAACTGTTCCTCTCCAATTTCCTCTAGCGCAATTCCAGTTATGGATAGCAAAGAGAAAACTCCTAATGGTAAGTCTGTAACTGAGTTGTAAGTCACCTATAAATGGCATCTGAGCTAGAGAGCAACACAAGTTAGAAGAATATTTATACAGCACATTAGATTATTAATAGTGCCAGGATATTCTGGAAACTGATTGGATTCGCATTTTCCTCTCCAGATAGGCTATTTTTCGTAGAAAGAAAGGAAACCTAAGAATTTCGGATTCTAAACGTGATGGAAGAGGAATAAGAAAGATTCTCACTTTCGTAAAACGTTAAATTGCATCTAAAATTTTCGGAAAAATGATATTGAAACCCTTGTAACTCGAAAAGACTCAAGTTGTCCAAGGATGACCGAACAGATACAAGTCTTCTAGCGCCGCTTTAAATGTATTTCTAGAGATCCAAAAGTACTCTGTATAGCCTGAAAAGTGTTTTCAGTGCATTAATGAGGAAACCGTGTTGGGCGCCCCTGTTCAAAGTTAAAGAGAACCTCAAAAATACACCCTTCCCTCCTTAGCTTCTCGCATACCCAAGCTGACTGAGTGAGTCAAGGAAAAGACGGGTCGGTGTTATGATATTCTCCAGACGCCAAACAATGGACCCTCCTCGAGAAATTTACATAGATATTTGTTAGTCTTTTGTTGAAACACTACATCGATTGCGTGACTAACACTTGCCAACTGATCAATACTTTTCGAAGACATTCCATGCTAAAACCGTACAACAGTTTAAATAATTTAAATTTACTGTTCCTATAAGCGATTTGTCTTGATTTCTCTTGATGCATTATTGACAAATTTCAGAAATCAGCTACATAAATCAGCTAGTATTTTAACTGCTATATGGCTGCCCCACATACACTGTACTACGAAATTTTTACACGCTAACTGGGGTCAGACATGCCGTACACAAATTACGTTAAACACAGCAAAAATGTATGAAAAGTAGGCGCTAAGTTTAGCCTAGCTCCTAGTTCAATTATGTTTGTTCACCCCTTTAATTTCTATGAACTTAAGAGGATTTTCCTGCTCAAATTGTGTGCAGGAAAATAATTGACGAATTTTCTATACATCTAATACAGAACCACAGGGTGGTGAAATTCGGTCAGCCTTAAACCCATTATCTGCAGCCCCACCTGCTTACACGCCTGGTGACACAGCACGGTCTGGTTACACAGCACAGCCTGGTTACACAGTCCAGCAGCCTGGTTACCCGCCAAAGCAGCAGCCATATCTTGCACAGCCCGGATACCCTCTTCAAACGTTCTCCACAAAGAGCATGCAAGTAAGTGACTGCGTCATTAATTAGCCTCATGAATACTACTTGTTTCAATAACATCTGTTTTTCTTTCTGCTTTTGCTCCATTATAATATCTCAGGGTAGCCCTGATACGGAGATTCCAGCCCTGCGAACCGAACAAAAGGCTGTTTTAGAAGCAGCTTATCGCTCCAACGAGCGCCGAAGGTGCGAACCTCTGGGGGGGTCCGGGGGCACGTTCCCCCGGAAAAAAATTTTAAGATATGTGCCTCTAAGATGCCTTTTCCTGCATTTTGAGACCACAAATGAACGCAAACCTTGCACAAAGTCGAGGCAATCCAGTGTATTGCCACTAAGGCTTTGCACAACTTGTTCGAGATTTTCCAAAAAGTTGCTCTTGATTTCTCAAAAAGTTCCTCAAAAGTTGCTTAAAAAATAATCAAAAGTTACTTTTTGTAACGAAAGTTGCGCAATAGTTGCTCGAAAAAACAGAACCTTCTTTTGGTCTGATGCTAAAACATGCAAATTGTACAACAAAAGTAAGCTTTCTAAGCATTCCTCCTGTGTGCAATTTTTCGGCGTAACTAGCGTTGCTAAATAACTTTATCTTCAATAAAAGCAAAAAATGTATTGAACCAATAAAATTGTTGAATGACGTTCTTCACCCGAGACACTCAAGTCAGTCGAGTGTGAATCTTCGTCTACCATTTTGAATTTTGTCTAAAAACCGGTGACTTTGCAGCCAGGCTACTTTTATCTTGCGCCCTTGATCTGCCTCAGAGGGGAGGATTTGGCTCCTTTTTTTACAAGAAATTCATAAATTGTCTACTAAAACATTGTGAAGTATGGAGGAAAGGCCAATTTAAGCACTAAAAGTTGCTCCGATATCTCAGAATTAGAAGATAACCAGAAAAATTGTTCAGAATGCAAGAAGTTGCTCGAAACGAAAATTTGCTCGAAATACGAAAAGTTGCCAAGAAGTTAATTGCCGAGCAACTTGTGTAAAGCCCTAATTTTCACATCCAAGATTATCGCATGCTAATGCTCGGATGCCATAAGGGTAAAAATGGCTGAGAAACCCAGACAAACGGCAAAGATCGAACTAAAAGGACTGGTTAAACAAAGAAAGAAAGAGTTTTAAAATCTGGGAGAAATATTACGCCAAAACTGGAGGCCGGCAATATTTGCCGAAAACGGGAGGTTTCCGACCAAAACGGGAGGGTTGGAATCTCTGCTGATATGATTATTATCCTTTATTATTGTTTGAGCACTGATGTTGTTTGAAGAAATCAGATACTGGTCAGTTTAAGGGATCTTCATGACGAATCAATAAGGAAAGTTTAAACAGAATACAATGTACTTGTAGCTAAATATGCTTTATTTTTTATTTTTACTTACTTTTTTGCTTATTTTTCTGTGATTTTACAGCCCAACGAAACGGTTATTGTGTCACCACCTCCCCCGCGTCCACCCTCTCATCTTTGTCTGTCAATAGTCTCCTGCCTGTTTTGTTTTTGGCCACTCGGTTTCGCCGCCCTTTGCTTCTCTTGCTTGGTAAGAACGTCGTACATGTATTGTTTTTTTTTTATTCGTTCAGTAGGCATGAAAGAAACAATATGATTTTAACATACTACAAAGCCGATAGAAAGGACCCTTTGTTTAAACAAAGAGGGAAATCGCGTGAATTAATGTTTATTTTTCCTTTGTTTTGTTCTTTTTGTGGAAGGACTCAGGGGCGTACCTCCCTCAAATAAGCACGGGCTTACAAGTGATTCCAACAGTATGACATATTGTGTTTTAAAAAGTAGATGTACTGACAACTGAACAGCCGTGTATTTTCACCTCGTACAAGAACTAAATGACAGGGTTCTGTCACAAGGGAATCGTTTCTTAAGACAATATCTTGTTCCAGAAAGCTTTCAACAGCGGAGTACAAGATAAGCTTAAATGAAAACTACAAAACCGATCTTTCAGAGAAGAGAGACTTACACAATGAAAATTTAAGGTGGCGAACAAAGTGGTCTCATTCAACTGATAAAAACCAATGACTCATCTCACAGAGACACTCCAGCAGCTCGCTAATCCGGACCTTTATCCCAACGTGGTCACAATTATTACCCTTCTCCTGAAAATGCCAGTGTCAACTACTACCCCCGAACGATCTTTTAGAATGATGCGCAGAGTTAAGACGTACTTACGTTCCACGATGAAAACAGAGCTACTCACAGCACTCGCCTTGATGCATGTTTACAGAAACATACCCATCTAGCTTTCGAATTTCTTTGAGTTCCACCAAGATTTCAGATGTTTGCAACTAATGTGTCGCTAGTCAGGTCATTACGTTTTTGGTATTGTTGACCACAAGCACATCTGACTGCATTTTGTTAAATATTATTTATTGTTCAATATGGAATCCTGGCATTCGCCTATTAATTTAAGCGCCAGATTACACCAGATTACATCTCAGGGTACTTGAATTTTCAGAATTTTCCGGGAGGGCATGTCCCCCGATCGCTCTAGCACAGTGTCGCGCCTTGAGCTCTCTTTATAGGTGCTAACGCGCCCATATCTTTATAGGTGCTAACGCACCCATGTTGTGTCTCCCCTTAACTTGCTCCACCAAGGCTTACAAACAAAAAATGCCTAGGAAGGTCCCTGAAGGTGATAATTTATCTTCGCTTGTGAGAGCTCGTTCCTCTACCCTCCCCCTCCCCCCCCCTCCCCCACCCCCCGCCTCGCTCGGGTCCTGCGGCGGGCAAGCGCGGCAGGGGCCGATGGGGCCAGCCGGAGCGGGCCCTTGCTGCCCTGTGCGAGCGTAGGTGGTTCGTCCGCCCACTGTGCGCGCTCGTTGTTCTCCCCCCCCCCCCCCCCCCCCCCCCACGGTAAGTCAGAGGAGGGTTAGGGTTAGGAGGAAGCAAGGATGTCGCAGTGGTGAGAAAACAACTCGCCTCCTTTAATGTGGCCCGGGCTCAAATCCTGGCGGCGACGCCATATGTGGGTTTAGTTTGTTGTTGGTTTTCTCTCTTGCTCCGAGAGGTTTTTCTTCAGGTACTCCAGTTTTTCCCTCTCCTCAAAAAACAACTTTTTCAAATTCCAATTCGACCTGGAATGCACGGACGCATGAATTGAAACGAGTACTTAACAACTACAAAGTAAAGGGCCTGTTGACATGGAGGTGGGGACCCCGGATAGGTGAGGTAACATGCGGCGGGTTACCCTACCTGTCATGTAAAAGTGCTAAAATAAAAATAAGAGATCATATGGACAGGCGGGTTACCCCACCTAAGCGGGTTACCTCACCTACCTGGGGTCCCCCACCTCCATGCAAACAGGCCCTTAGTGCCTTGAGGGTAAACAAATTACCGCAACATATACTTGCGGTATATTATAAAATTATCAATTACTAATAGACGTCGTTGTCTCAGTTAAGTGAAAAAAAAAACTCCAAACACAAAATTAAACAAAACTTTTAGTTTCTACCAGGGAAAGGAAAACGCCTCCAAGGAAACAAACTCTCGTTGCCTGAATTTAAACGCCCAGTTACTCATGTTCAGTTTGTTGCCATTTTCTCACAGGTTGATAGCTCATACGACAAGGGAGATTACCAGAGAGCCTTAAGCCGCTCAAACACTGCCAAACGGTTGAATATCGTCTCTATAATATGTGGCGTGATTCTTATTGCTGTGATAGCCTTTGTACGAATGACGGCAAAAACCACTAGTGTTACGTACGATACTTACAACTAGGATTTCCAACTATCATATGAACCTTGTTTTTGGACATTAATACCAGCACGTATCAAACACGAATTTTAAATAGCACTGTCTTATATAGCATTATATTTATTCCTGCTTAGAATTTATATAAATTAATAAACGCATTTTGATTTTTTCGCTTCTAATTTGCATAATTTAATAGAACTGAACACCTATCGAGACGAGTAATGAAAGTACATGTAGTAAAATTAATAAGGGCTTGGGAAATAGTTCCTGGCTGAATCACAATTGCGCCAGCCAGTTCATAAGATGTAGCCATAAATAAGTTGATAAATAGATAAGTAACAAAAATACGAATAACCTAATTCACATATTTTTTAAAAATATTTGAAAGCTGAAAAAAAAATCAGCTAAGGAAGTTGTGCACCAATCTTGCATTAAGAGTACGCCCTTTGCAATGCAGTTGGGGTAAGACGCATCTTAGCTAAGCCGCGTCTTATTTTACACGAAATGTGCCGTTTATACAGAAAGTTCGCGTCTTATTTAAGACGCGTCTTACATAAGACGCGTCTTATTTTTCCTCGTATAAATGGCCCTTATGTGTAATGCGCGTGCGTGACCCCAAAAATGAATGAACTATGTTGAGAGCTATGTTAATGGCTCCCACATTGTTGCGCTGTGCATCGGCGATCAGGGAACGAAAGAAATGTTGAGGGTTATTGGTTCAAGAGTTTGACCGGTTTCAAACTCCCAACAACACGCAACAACATGTAACATGGTGTAGAAACGGACGCAACATGCAACTCCCAAAAATATTGAGAATTGTTGGCCAACAATGCTGCTACCGTTTGCAAATAGCTTTATCTTAGAAATTGTATCCGCATCGGTTTTTAAGGTTCATAAGGTTTGTGTGACTAACCGTTCCAAAAGGCCACATGACGTTTTAATTCGCGTCAGAATTCATCGTTTAGTTCAAAACAGTCTATATTTGTGCAAAGGGACGAACTCGTATGAGGAGTCAAATGAGAAGTCTGGCGCGATGGTTAAAACGAAGCGTGAGGCTCGAGCGCTTTGCACGAGAAACTAAAAACTCAAGCCTGCGCATCGCGCCCGAATATACTACATTCAGTAAAAAACAACACCAGCAACAGCCGTGATGAGGACGAAAGAATGAACCATACTCCTATCTAAACGAGCCATTAAACCATTCGATCTTAGCAAAACGCGTTTTGAAGCTAGTCGAACCGTTTTCTAATCACTGTTTGGATATAAAGGACTAAAACGTACCAAAAAGGGGTATACATGTCGTACTGACTCTTTTTTGGCCGATGTATTCTTGTGTGGAACAATCTTCCATCTACCTGTGCTACGGCTCCGTCTTTGCACGTGTCAGAATCCACAGCCAATACCTATCTGTCATCACCTACTGCCTAATTGTGCCAATTGAAAATAACCCATAACAAGTAAAAGTTTTTGTTTTCACCCAGTCAAATCCCTCGCGCACACCTAGAATACAGTGGCACGGTGACGGTTTTTTCTTGATTAATTGCCACAAAATCAGTCCTTAACAAAAGCTTAGTATGGCAAAAAATGATCTCAGTTTCTTTTTTTCAATCCGGGAACATTATTGCCCTTGCACTGAAACAGAATCATCAATCACTTCATAATAAGCATTTGCCTCCCGTTACCAAGGCTTTGGTGTCTTGCCGACCAGGAGTAGACGGATTTTTTTTAAGGGTCTTTTCCGCGTTCTCTAGCGGCTCGCTTGGCTCGCCGAAATGGAAATCAGGGAGAACTTCCTTGCAGGCTGTTAGGTCCTAGTGGCAAACTCCCAGAGAAAAAATGATTACGTACCTATAAATCGCCATCATCCCCATTTTAATCAATTGTAGATTTTGATTCTAAAAGTGCTGCAAGATCACAGTGACAAACCGTATACAGCTATTTCGAGAAAGGTTGTGTGCTGCAAAAAAGGTGTGCTACACGTGCAATTTGTTTTCTTGTTAATCAGATTTTTATTGCCGTCTCCGTTTAGCATTACACGATTTAATTTTTTTTGCTTATAAGTATTATTAACCAGAGCTTCGCTTTTAGCCCTGGCTAAATCTATATATTAGGTTTCTTCATTATTTTGCTGTAGGTATCAATTGGCAGTGTACATCTTGAATCCATCACACATTAGTTAAAATTGGTTGAAAATCAGTTTATCACAAGAGGTGGTCTCACAATATTAATAATATTATATGAGAAATATAGCTAGACTCTGACTCGTTTAGTACTTAGTGTATGTTGTGTTCATATTGTCTGTTTGTTCAGTCATTATGCATGGACTCAGTCGGTGGGAACTAACCTAAATAAAGAGAAACGCTTCAGGCTTTTCATAGTTTATTTTTAACCATTAGGTTTTGGGATTTGAGACAATACACGACGTTCATTGTGCATATGCATATTGTCACCCTTCACAGTGTTACGATCAGTTTGATTCTGTTTTTAGATGTATTAACGCTGCCTCCTCGTGCAGTAGAATACACCCGGGATTTCTCTAAGGTAAGGAAAAGCAATCTTTTTATTCTTCCGAAGACGATTTCTTCGTGCTTTGACCTTGTATGTCAGCAAACGCGAATTTCAACGCTTTCACTTTCACGCTTACTTCTGAGAAAATTGTTTAAGCTTTTGCTTTGCTAAGCAAAACCTTGTCAATAAAAGTATGAAGCATGTTATACAATAACATGTCATATACCAAATACTACAACTAGCTAAGATCTAAAATATATGTATTGAATTTAATTTGAGTCGAATCAAGTTCGTCAAGTTCTTTACAGGACAAAAAATATAACGGGGGTTAAAATTTCTTATAATAGTGTTCCAGTAAAGCCTATAGAAAGAGTGGTAGGTAGATAATCAGTTAATTAAAGGCACGAAATAAACGACAAAACTCGCTCTCTGAAGTGAAAACATTTGGGTAGCCGAAAGAATATTAGCATAAGTAACATGAACAAGCCGTTCTAAAATCAGAGTGCTTATACTTCATGTAAGATAAAGTATAATGCCTTAAAGCACATTTTGAACTAAAAAACTCTCCCAAAAGAATTTTGTTCAGCTCGTCCAGTCGTTTGCGGTTTAAACGTTCCAAATTTTTTTCTTGCAAAGTGATTAATTTCGCACCGGCCGACACATACAGGCTAAGACAGCAAAGCAGAAAGATGCTATCTCAGCATTAAGAATAGCGTTTATCACCTCTTTTTCGCGGTCTGGACAGGACTAGTCTGGACTGAAAACTTGAGTAGACTTTATAAATCATGGATTAAAATAAAAATATGAAATGAGGAAATTAACAATTATTACAAAATACATTTTTAACCATTGACGTGATCACATCTCTCTTTTCAAGCCTCCTGATAGCATGTAAAATGTATCAGAAACTGCTAACAGAAAAATATACAACCACAGCAACAACCCTTTGACGAATGTCGGATCTTGTGCAGATCTTAATACCTTTTAGAAAGCAAAAACTGATCTAACAGCAGACGACTGCGTGAACAAATTCAAAAAAAGCTTTAACCTAAAAGAAAGTGTGTTGCTACCGGATGCGTACTACATGTATTGCGGATCTATGCTATGTGCTTTGTCACGTGATGTAAGTTTTGTCAGTCTTAAGTTTGAGTCACCAAGGTAGTTTTTCTGAGAATGACTTGTTGGATCCTGTTGGATCCTTCCTTCTAAAATCTAACCCCAATTTCTGAGATCAAGCAAAATCAAGCAGTCAAAACAACCCAACATATTGCATGAAAGACGTATTTTTACGCTGCATCGGAGCAACCTCTTGGATTGCAATACTTTGAGATTGAACTGAATAGCTGCTGACAGAGTTACCCTGCTGGACAATGCAAGAGACCAGAGCTAATTACCAAATGACGGCACTATTATCTAATCATCCTATTCAAATTTTATCTCTATAATATTTAACGATACATCCTTAAATTATCGCGTAGAGCATGAAACTTGAGTAGGTGTCTCTTATGTTTCTATTTTCTATCTCAAGATAAATTTTCAGGTAGAACCAGAGCCAAGCAGTGAAAATACGAGATATGTCTGACAAGGTGAAACACGTTGAAGGGTAGGCCGGACAAATGTGATCTTGAATGCTCAAAGTAGTAACCAAATTAAAGGCTAGAATAGCAAATAAAGGCACTTGCTAAATGTTGAGCTAGGAAGGAAGTTGACCTCAAAAATGATAGTTTATTCACCTTAAAAACTTGCAGCCAAAGGGCTGAATTGCGATAAGGTTTTCAAATCAGTAATTTACAACTGAAATAATTTACAACTAATAAAAGGAAGATGATCCGGCATAATTTACAATTTTAAAACTGTTTCAAAATGAGAAATTCATAAGCATGCGTCAAGTTCCCATATACAAGGAACAAAATTATATCTTACTAGTTCTCAACTACTGTAAACATAACTTAAAAGAAAACTATTCTTGCATCTTTCAGTTTTACACTTTGGACCAATAAATGTTCTGTGTTCTCTCAGAGAGAAGTTTGGCTGATATTTACTTGGAAGTAGTTTGTGGAGACTGAGTGTGAGACTGGTTAGAGCATATTTCATCGAACAACAATTGCCTCTAGAGCCTACGCATATCATAGCTCAGGGTGAATAATCTTCATAGCGCGTTTTTGAGTCCTTCTAGGTCTTCGCTTAATAACTTGGTAGAGCGCGATGAAAAACCTTTCTGACTAGTTCTGACAGATGGACATTCCACTTTAAATCACTGCTAACAATTTCACACTGCTCACAGTCTCTAGTTACTGAAGGTTAACGCCGGATAGGGTCAAACTCTGGGCAGGCTTGTTCCTTGCCAAGCTAATCCTGAGCTCTTTGCATTTCCTTGTGTTTAACTGAAATCCGTCATCCCTTTCTTGCCTTGCGAGATCGTCTACCACTTGCTGAATACAACTCTCTTGGCCTTTATCTACCGACTCAGAGATTGTGGTATCATCCACATATTTCCACATATCTGCCTCTCTTGCATTCAAATCATTTATCATTATTAAGAAGAGCCACGGCAAAAACTTTGTCCCCTGAGGAACACCGGCTGGGATGAAACCCACTGGGAGAAACAATCCTGGGCCAGCTCAACCCTCTGTCTCCTATCCAACAGAAAGTCAGCAATCCATCATAAGATGTGGCTCGGAATATCATTATCTGAGAGTTTACGCACAAAGGCATTGAAAAGCCTCACGGAAATCAAGTAAAACGACTCTCATCGTGGCCGCGTTCCCATCAGAGCTGATCCCATATTGCTTTCTTGTCGATTTTCTTTAGCACGGCCGGCATCACAAAGTCATGAACAACATAATCCTCGGCAATCTTGGACAGGATAGGCGTAAGGGAAATGGGGCGAAGGTGCTAGTTAACGTCTTATGATAGGTCTTGGTTTGGACGACATTTAAAGGTAGTGATAAATCAGTTTCTAGATAAGTTAAGGAAAAGTGGACCCGTTTTTGGCAAGGAAATGGCTTCCCGTGAAAAATTTGCTGTTACATTTGGCTGACATTTCAGGTTTCATTGATATAATAAGTATGCTAATTTTATAAAATTTCAAAGAAGAGTAGAAGCGAAAGTCAACTGGTAACGAATCCTTTTGAACTGAAATTGTTTTGGAATTTTCAAAACGCTTTCCTGTTGGTATGACGCGAAAGAAGCCTTCCAATGTCTGCAAAATTCGTCATCCCCGCGCCTGTAATCTGACAACGGAGTCACGAAAAACTCTGGAACTTTAAGAAACGTCCAAACAACGAAATAGTTTTATTGAAGCAAAACAGTATTTTCAGTTTTAAAAGTATTTTGTCTTCCTAGCAACGCAACCAGTCATGCCTAGTTGTACGCTTAATTTTTAAAAAATTAAATTTATCGTTATTTTTTGAAATAAAGGCTGTTTTGAAACAACACGTAACATTTACTTGACAATCCAAGTAACTGTTGAGTGGAGGACCCTAGAGAGAATAATAGCCCTCTAAAATCGGTTGGCCTTTAAAATGAAAGGTTAAGAGAGAGAAGCTAAGAGACCCAACAAAGCCAACCTCGCCATTTTGAAACCTTGGCTACATTAATGATTACTTTGCCTTAAGTAGCAGTGGAACTCTGGTTAGAAGACCAGAGCCATAAAAATTTGGTCGTTTTAGTTATTAAGAAGCGTCAATTCAGTGTGTAACCGCAAGCATGAATTTATCACATTCAAAGTAATACTTATTCTAAGACAAGGACTGTTCAGATGGAATGTGGCAAAATCGATGTAATTTTTAAAAAAAAAAAAAACTACATGACAGCTTTTTTGGTTTCAATTTAAATAGCGTCACACAAAAGCTTCGAGATTCAAGGCACTTCTGCCATCACAAAGTAAAGACTGACCCAACTCATCATTCTTGATTAAATTAATAGTTGTCAGTTTTTCCCGGGCCAATTAAGAAAGTTTGCTTAACCAGGGGGAAAAGTCTTGCCTCCACTTTGTTAAGTTCAGTTGTATATCTTCAAAATTATTACTGAAAGCAACTTGGGATCGAGTATAGTGCCTTGTGCACACGCCCGGTTTATTTATAGACAGGAAGTACTCTTCGCTGCCCATTAAATAGAAAGTTAATCATCTAAAAGACCGTCTTTAATTGGATGCAGTGATTTCCTACAAAGATCATGTAGTTTTATTTGTTTTCGACAAAGTTCACGAAACACTTTATTTTTTAAAGGGGAAATGGTGCCCCCACAGGCTTACCCAGGAGAGCAAGGTAATTTTCCAGCTCCGCCTGGTTACCCAGCGCAGCCTGGCCACCCACAGCAGCCGTACCCGGCACTGTCTAGGTACCCAGTCCCCCAAATACAGCCGTACCAAGAAATGCAAGGACAATGTAACACAACAGCAGTTGTAATACCGGTAAGAGTCTTACAAACCATCAAAACAGCCGATGTTTTCTTTCAAAGACCAACAGGTAGAGGTACCAGGCCATGGATTACGGACGAAACACTGTGTCGAGTGCTAGTTTGATATAACTTCTAAACTATGAATAAATTCGTGAAGAAGTTTCAAAGCTAAACGTCGCCAAACTTTGTGGCGCAATCGAGGTTCGGTTTCCATACCTCCTTCGCAAGTGCTTTCCAAACACAAAAATTCTGATAAGTTTGTTTGAAGTTTTGGTGGTTTGTTTGGAAAAACCCGTTGTGATGTACATGTACGTAGAATCCAATATAGATACAAGTAGAATGAGACATAGCAGATCAGCTTCAGCTATTTATTATATAAATATAGGAAGACATAACAAAATTTAATATTTCACCTTTCTTCATCAGAAAGAGTAACTGTAATAGTTTGGTACTTTTTATATAGTAAGGAACTTATTTCATTTTTTTGTATCATTGTATAGTCCAGTCATGAAGCCGTCATCTTACGACCAGAGGCTCCTCGTCCACAGAATTGGCGAACCTTATCCATTTTTAACCTTGTGTTCTGTCTTTCGCCAATTAGTGTAGCAGCCTTTGTCTTCAGTAGCAAGGTAAGTATGCGGTTTTTGATCATTGCTGAATCAAACCCATGAATATACGACTTCTTTTTAGGAAGTCATTTTGAGGCAGAACCTTTTCTGTTTCAGTAGTTGCTTGTTTATTTCTTAGACACGTTTACCCAAAATTTGGCGAGATTTGGTTGCAAAATCTCATAGATATAATATGGAACCATTCCTTTAAGAGCCCAGCTATTGTTTGGAGGGAAGCTATTTTTTGGGGAATAGCAAGTTATCCGCGCTTGGTTTCACCTCGAATCCTCACTAATCATACATGTATGTTTTTTGCAGGTGGATAGCTCTTATATTGCCGGAGATTACGAAGGAGCAAGACGAAACTCAAAAATTTCTTTGTGTTTGAATTTACTTTCAATCCTCTGCTTAGTAAGCTTGGCAGCGTATGTATTCAGTTAAAAATGAGATGTTTTTACCAACCAAAAACAAAATTTTCTCGACATTTTTTGACTGTAGAAAGTAGATGAAGAATTTTCGATTGCAATTGTTTATTTTCAGCAATCTAAGGCCATCTTTGCGTGTTTTCAGTTTGTTAGTTTCTTGTTTTTGTTTGTTTATTTGCCTTTTTTCAATTGTTTTTGTTTTGCGCGTGTGTGTCTCTATAAGCGGATAGTGTTTTCGACTGATCGTTTCTGCGTATCCGTTTCTGTTTGATTTTGAACATTTGTAGAGGGAGTGTCCCTAGATCATTCAACAATTGTTTTCCTCTTCCCTTAGAATCAGTGTTAAGTCACATGGAGCCCAAATGCTTTATAGGTATATCTGGGGTTTACACGAAACCATTTACCTGTGTGTCTTTTCCTATACTTAGCCGTTTTGGAAGGGATTTGCATTAGCGCAAAGACTGTTTGTTACTTCGATTTTAAACCACACCGATTTCCATAGACGCGTCAGAACCCGGGGACAACATCCTCGATCACTGGGTGCATGGTTACTTGAAAATCGAGACGTTAATATGTCTTCTTCAGGTTCTACGGGCCTTAAGCGATTACAGTCAAAACTGTGTATAACGGCCCTGTATAAAGAAGTCACCTGACAACTTCCCAAGATTTTCAGTTGTCTTATATTTTCTGCAAAGTTGACCTGTATATAGCGGTCACCCTGTTTATAACGGTCGCCGTGCTTGTAATTGTGTTTCGAAATCAAACGGAGAAAGAATCTTTCCGCTAATATAAATCCCTTTAACACGAAGAAGACAGATAAAGATACATAAATGAACTGTTTGTTTAATTTCTTATTGTAATAGCATTAGAAATCTTTAACTAATACCTGTAAAGCGTTAGGGCTCCCTGTAGCTTGGTGAAAAACTTCAGTGTTGGCCCAAAGGCGTTTACGTTATTATTCAACTCACAGCCTTCCAGATACCGCTTGTGGACTTCTTTTAAGTCGTCTAACGCTCTTCGCTTTTAGTGAACGGTGGTATAAGAAGCCTTTCTCATTAATCCTTTTAACATGCTTAATTTTTTGTTCAAAGAAAGTAAAACAATACGCTTTAAAGAAAAAAAAAAATGTACACGGATTCATGGGGATGAGCCTAACTATTGCTCCCATTCTGGTGAATCAGTTAACAATGAGAGGAAAATGGTGTGTCTTAATCGTGGAAAATTGAATAAAGAAACATTAAGCATGCTGTAGGTGGTAGAGAAACGCTAAAACACTTGCATTAATTCTTGGTTTGCAACCACGTGACGAGGCGGCCATGTTGGGGGTCAATAAAATGGAATTTTTCCTCGAAGAATTTACATGAAAATAGAGTACGAACATAAACCACAAAGGACTGCAAAGGACCGCAAACGAATATGCCGAAGAACGTAGGATCTATAAAGACCTGATCAACAAAAATGAAAAGTAGACATTAAATTCTGCAAGCATAATACTGCACTGCTGATCGTACTACGTGAAAATTAACTCTGCAAGACATCAACACGACACCGAAACAACTCAAAACAGAGCAGGATTGTAGCCATAGACAGCTGTTTAGCCCTCTTTGGGGCTAGTGAAAATAGAAAATAGAGAAAAAGAAAATAGAGTTTAGTTGCCACAGGAGAGAAATGCTTTTGTTCTTGACCACCAACATGGCCGCCGTGACGTAAGGCGCAAATCAGCAATAAAGAGAAAATCAGTGAAGGAATCGCGCTTCCGCGGCAGTAATGATCGCTGTCGATATTGCACGTTTTCATATTCTGGTAAAATAAATACGCAAAAAGAAGGAGTTTCCGGCGTTTTGAGTGAATACTATATATATAGCCGGAAATGAAATATTTTTGAGAAACGACAGCTGTGGGGACTGGGGCTGGTCCAGTTGAAGTGCAACATGGGTAGAATAGAGGGCTTTTTATAGCCGCAGCATCAACTCAATCGCACTGATCAGCTTCTTCTACTGGGTCATAATCGACGAAGTATTCACGTCATAGTAGGGGACTAAATCACAATTTATCCATTTACGGATTGGCTGCTTTTATGATCGTTACTCCAGCAAGACAACGTTCAAAGGTAAGGAAGTGACTGTTTTCAAGACTTAGAAAAACGAAAATAATGATAACTTACAACAACAAAGAGCTTTTTTTGCATGACCATACAAGTACGTACAGTTTGCAAAAGCTATTTTAAAAACTAGTCCTTCATGTATTGTCTATAATACGTAGCTTCGTCAAGGTGTGATAAAAACTTCATATGCCACAAATGCATGCTTAGGCTTATCGATCTTATCATTAGCACCTTTACTAAGAGTGACTACGCAAGCCTCAATAAGTAAATGCTTTAAAATGGACCTGGCTACGATAGGAGATGGGTCACTGATATAAATAAGTAGTCAAGAAATTAGTGTAATGTCTTCTCCAATCGACTTGTTCTGTTGGGAAACAGTAAACGATGTTCATTGTTTTGTCTTCCTCCATATTAATTTACGATCAGATTCAATTTGGGGTTTACGCAGCTTCATCCTTCCACGGGAATTCAACCGGGATTTCTATAAGGTTAGGACTGGCGATGTTGAGATCATATAGAAAACGAGTTCTGTTAAGGTTTACCAAAATATGTTAATAAGTTTTGTGTGGAGCTCCTTAATCAATGGGTAAAGTTTAGGTTGGAACTAATTATTCTTAAATGGGAGATAAAGCTCGTCTTGGGGTTATTACAGAAACTAGTACAGATTCTTCTTTCTTGGTCGACTGAATTTCTTCGAGTGAGGTACTTTGAAGTGGGCTGGCCATCAGGATTTCAATGTGAGGCCAAGAAGTTTTTTTTTATATCAAAACTGTTTAAACTTAATGTTATCGGAAGTTATTGTTTCAATATAAAAACAGCTTAAACTTGGCATTAAGTTGCTCAGTAGGAGAAGTTGGAAACCCTTGAAAACATGGTGCCAGTTGAGTTTTGCACAACCTTTCATTTTTACGTGGAACTCATAGGAAGGGAAACTGCTTGACTGTACTTAGTTCCGCTTGAATTAGTCCTCGATAACAGATGGTTAAATTGGTAAAAATAAGGTTAATACCCTGTTTTAGACGCCTGTTCATGCATTCGAGTTCACACTTGTGGGAAATATTTTTTAAAAAAATTTGCCGGTTGCTAGTGCTAAATTCAACAACATAGTGTTCAGTACTTTTACATCATGCAGCAATTAGTGAATATTGCTTTTCAGCGCAGATAGCTGACTCATTACAGACGTCTAGCTATTATGTGATTTCCCACAAACTTCCGTGTTCTAGCTACTGAAGCAATGCACGTTCACGGCGTAAAAACACAGATATTATCATATAACCAAAATGAACATACGCAGGACGATTTTTCGCTAAAAACATTTGAATTGTCATCAAATAATACTAGAACAAGTTATTTTGATTTGAAATCCTAAAGTCTGCTTGAAGTCCATATATATATGGACTTCAAGCAACATAAAAGAACGGTTACATAATCGAAGCAACTCGCGGCGTCCCGGTGAATTATTGTCTTGGAAATGTTAGACTGCTTGCAGTCCGCCTTTTCTCTCCATATCCGTCTAGTTCTTGTCTCATCCAGCGCGATTGCAAACCACGACGTTATTATCACGCCCTCGTTTCTCGCGGCTCGCGGTTTTGCCGCTCGCGTGCTTAGGTTTCGCGTGCAGTAACTTTGCAAAGAAAAATAAGAGACTGCTCGCAGTCTAGGGAAATGACATATTAAGACGGAATCCAAAAGGAAATTGAGTAATTTTAATTTTTAAAGGACAAAAATCAAAATTACTCAATTTCCTAGTGGATTTCGTCTTGATGTACTCCAGAGATACAAGATAGAAGTTCCCAGAATTTGTTACCAGAATTGTATCTTTCAAAATTTGATAATGATGATAGTAATAATTTTAAAAGGAAAAGCTTTTTTTTCCATTGATTAAGACAAAAATATTATCTCTATAAACTCAAATAAAACTTAAAAAGTTACTGAGGTATATCATAATTATCCTAGCAGATACTAGCTTTCTTCTCAGTACAGATTTGAAAAAAAAGCTATTGTTGGTTTTCACATGACGTCACTAAACTTCAAACTACAAAACTATTGATCCTACTGAGATTTTACTTTCACGATGCATTAGAGCAACTGAAAACTAATTTTCATACAAATGTTCGCTTCAAAAGGGTTCTTGGTTTTCTTATAGAGTGCGCTTGAATTTCTAAGCTTTTGCGTGACTCGGCTTTTACATGACGGCCAAGAGAGCTGCCATGTAGGTAGAAAAAAAAGACTTATTTTAGGGAATTTTGCTATCTAAACAGTTCATGTATTAGAAAAAAGTATCACTTTAATGTTTACGAGTTCCTCGATGAATAAATTCACGCTTTTGTAGCAGAACTCGGTAACAGATGTTTCTGTTGGTTTCCGTCTGCAATGTTGGAGCCCATCCAGGTGGGCACCAGCATAGCGTCTCCTAGACTTTCTCAAAGTCGTTCGCTTGGTTTTCTGCTTTGAAGAGAGAAGTTCCTTATATCCCTCGGGAAGAGAATTGCATAATAATAGTGCAATGTATGAAAAAGCCTTTTGACCATACATCTTAAGATTGTATCTACAAATTACAAAAAAAATTTACTAGAAGAGCGGGAGGGAATATCCGGCGATAAAAATTCAGATAAAAAATTGTTGCCATGTCATTTAACGGGGTTAAAAGCAGAGATTTAAAAACAACCCACTGTCGCGTAATTTTTTACGTGCGTACGTGCCTAAAATTTGCGTTCGTAAATATTGATGTTTATTGATGTTAACAGGGGCGTAGCGTCTTTTAAGCAAATACGCAAGTGCGCACTCTAGAAATTGGTAGGATTTTTTAAAAATATTTTCCGTTATGTAAAGGCCATTTGTAGTGTTGCCTCTGTCTGTCTTGCTGTTATTCCACATCGTTTTTACACGAAAAATGCAACAGTTTGAGAAGTGAAATGTGATTAATTCGAAACATTCTTGAATGTTTGCCTTAATGCGATCGCACAATAATACAATGTACGTATTCATAAAAAACAGAGGGGGGATTGGGAAAATTAATGTAAAACACATTGTTTAGGGTACAACAAAGGTGCGAGGCCACAAAGAATCGACCCTGACTGATTGTCATTCCTTTTTAGATTTATCTGGAAAGTTTTCCCATTCAAAAGCTATTCATTTTCTTTTTGTCCAAAAAGTCTATCAAAGACTACTTTAATGTCACTCAAGTGGGAAACTGCTTTTAAGCAAGAAATTACAAGATAAAGGCTCCGCAGGTCAATCTGGCCACCTGATTACGCCTTCCAGTCCCAGAGACTCTTGTGAAACCACTTGATCAAACCAATGCCGTTTTCTATGCATTAAGACACCTCTTTCTTACTCTATTTCGGCGTGTGCTGCTCAGTGAGCACAGTTTCAGCTCGATCGCGATGAAAAGAATAAAGACTACACTACGTAATACGATGACAGATGAGCGACTTTCATCCTTGTCGATTTTACGTATACATAAACACAAACTCGTTAATGTTGTTAACGTCACTAAATTTACGCAACAAAAAGAGAGGCTCCTCGCCTTGTGCTTGTAAACATTCCAATACAGCTCAAAGAAGAACGACAAGAACGTTTTAAAAGCTTTTTTTCCTAATATTATGTCCTGTTTTAAACAAGCCTGTAAACTGCCGAAATATGTACTTGTTTTTGAGATCATATGGACCCGTGTGCATACTTGCCAAAATGGCCACGCTACGCCGGTGGTTTATTGATTTTTTTTTTTGCCTGGAGTTATGAAAACCGGGTTAGCAAACATTTTGTAATTTTTCTCAACTTCTCCTGTCTAACAGCTTGTTTACTGTGTTGTTTGTTTATGTCGTGTTTTTTCTTTTTGCTTCTTTTGTGGTTAGGGATTTGTGTAGAAGTGGATGTAGACAGAATTACTATCTTATCCCCCCCCCTCCCTTTTTTTCCCTACCCACAATTTTTTATTTCACACAAGTGACAGTAATTTGAAATCAGTGTGGGCCTAAAGCCGGTTTCGGTGCCGTTTAGCTGTTTAGTTTTAGGTATTGGTCACCTTGAGAAAAGTTTCCCGGAGAGCATCATGTAAAGCTCTGAGATGGGACAAAGTTATTACGATTCGCAGAGTCTGCATCGTCCAGTATCCTATTATATTCTCGTTTCATTTGGCTAAACGGATCAATCACCCTGATCTGGCCTGAGAGAGAAAGGTACGATATTGTTCGCTTTTCTAAGGTGACCACTAAGTCTTTGGCCACGGGAACAGGCTCTTAGGAGTCAAATGAATTAGGTGAGAGCAAAATTGCAGGTGAACTTTGACCCAGACCAAGACGTCGTTTTTTTTTTTCTGGTGTGAAAACAAAAGGGGCGCGATCCATTCAACCAAAATTTCCGGAAATTTCGGTCCAAAACCCAATGGATCGGTTCGGTCAAACCGGAAAAGTTTCGAAAAAACGGGTCCACCTTTTGAGGTGGACCACTTTTCCCGGTCGGACCGGTTGGAATTTTGGTTGAATGGATCGCGCCCAAGGCTAAGGTGATCCGCCGACCGTGTGACCTTACATCCATGAACTTGAATAAGACGAGTGTCAGAGAAAAAGTCCAGAGGTGTTTATCTGGCGATAGGCTGAGTTTTTCCCAGTTATTCGATGATATTTCGCTTATGTTAAACGAGAGAAGATTATGCGTGGTTGTGGATAGTCCTATCAGTGCCGCGAAAGTGTGTGATTGTGTCATTTCCGCATATTGTTGACAGGTATGTGATCGCGTGGTTGAACAGCGGTTTGGCCAAAATATTCTGTGCCAGCCATTAATATTATTTCGTCGGTGTTTAGTTTAGCTGATTGTACCTTGGAAAAGCGACTCTTGACTCAGGAAAATTGGATCTAGGTCTAGTTTCAGCGGGTTCTAATGGCATTGAACCATAGGCCGATTAAGACAGTGATAATTTCTTGCACTACGTTTCATTCAGTTTGTTGTCTATTCCATGCGGAATCCTGTTGTTTNTAGTCCTATCAGTGCCGCGAAAGTGTGTGATTGTGTCATTTCCGCATATTGTTGACAGGTATGTGATCGCGTGGTTGAACAGCGGTTTGGCCAAAATATTCTGTGCCAGCCATTAATATTATTTCGTCGGTGTTTAGTTTAGCTGATTGTACCTTGGAAAAGCGACTCTCGACTCAGGAAAATTGGATCTAGGTCTAGTTTCAGCGGGTTCTAATGGCATTGAACCATAGGCCGATTAAGACAGTGATAATTTCTTGCACTACGTTTCATTCAGTTTGTTGTCTATTCCATGCGGAATCCTGTTGTTTGTCGAACCGCGAAAAAAGTAGTTTTTTGCTAACTATTGAAGTTGTTATGTAAGCCTTAACCAGGCACTCTTTCACCGCAGTTCACTCAACTTAAAAATTTCTAGACTGAAATGACACCGGTTTGAAATTTAGCGAATTCAGTTTACTGAATAAATGTTCTAAAAATTGCGTCAATTTAAATTTAGAGTCGTTGGAATCCTACTAGAGACCATTAACTTACTGCCCTGCGTTAGATAAATTTACAGGCGCTAAAAAATCGGCACGGCACGCCAACTTGTTGGCACCGTGCTGACGACTTTAAGGCACGGCACTCCCAATTTTCGACGTGTAAACGTATCGGTCCCAAATGCGATTGGGGCACCAGTGCTCAATGGCTGGACATTTACGCATAATAATGAGCTACCATGGCGGGCTATTCAAGCATGAACGCCGCACAAAAGCACCACAATAAGAGAGAAAAGGGAGGAGTTTTTTGCGAAGATCACTAACTAAAATCGTCATTTTAATCGTCATTTTTTAAGATAAAACAGTGGCTTTTTGCAGTTAAAGGGCTAATCCTCAACGTTACGTAAAAACCAGGAAAATTCAACGAATTTTGTTATTAACGAAATTGTTATTAACTAAATGCAGTCATCTGTAAACAGGGTGTTTATGTAAATAGGCTGATTAAATAAGGGATTTCGAAGCGCGAAGTTTGAATACTGATCGACACTGCTGGCTTGCGTTTACGTTCGTAAAGATTCAATTATCACAAAGGGAAGGAAGGAAACGTTTCGGGAACATGCGAGAAACGGGTCCCAGGAATCAATTCATAAATCAGTAGAGCTAAATTTTGAAAAAAAGAGGGATGCTCACTTCAACCAACATTCCTCATCTATAAGTTGTTCGTCCTTAAAGATAGAATCGCTCCTCCGTGCTCTAGGCATAAACGGCGCCATCTTGATCATGCTCTAAGTTGCGCATGACTGCATGCAATGTTCATGAGTGTAAGGACGCTGGTCGAAAGTTAACGGACGAAAAGGCGGGAAAAGATATGGCAGTGGGAAACGAAATGGAAGACAGATTGTTTAGAACATATAGTACTTTGGTCATACATTTGGTCATAAACTTTTCTATTATTTGCATGGTGGCTCCTAAAAGAGCCGTTTTTGTCGTGCTTAGCGCTTGTATCAGTGCGCCCCAGCAGGGTATTTTTTTCTGAAGACAACGCGAAGACGTTCGACTGGTTCGGGATACTTTCTTGCCATCGCAGTAAAACGCAGGTGACTAGGACACCAACAGTCGGAAGGTGAACTGCACGATCCGGCACCGGTTTCCTTTAGCGTTGATTCTCTGCTCCACGTACGAGCTAAGGCCAGCTTCTTCTAGATCTTGGTCGCTGATGTCTGTTGGAGCTAGCTGAAGTTGCGGTGGTAGGATCGGGAACAGGAAACGGACCACGTCGTGGCGAATCTCGATCGACTCTTTGTGTTGAAGTGGAACTTTCATTCCCCTTTCAAACACGAGGCCGATCCTCTCTCTGGCTTCTTCAACACGTACCAGGTCTGGTTCGGGGTTTTTAAATGCCTCTGTCAGCTCAGAAAGTAGATGAGCCTTTGGCTCCCATGTGTTTTCGCAGGCGCAGAAATGTTTCCACTTTACCATGAACATTGTTTTTCCGTTGAAAATTTTCTTCCCAACTATCCGCTCGGCTTGATAGATACCGAGTCAGGCCTGTAACAGGGGGAGGGGCAGGGGGGGCTCGAGCCCCCCCAGAAATTTTCAGACTTGAATTAAATTCTGCTACAACAGTGGAATTTTTCTACTAAAATCGACAGCTGTCAGTGGAAGCTAAAGTTTCAAAGAATTGTCGATCATATTGAGATTATGTACTGTTGTTCTTCTGTGCAATTTGGAATTGTGTAAATGAACGAAATGATTTGGTAACCTTCTTGCAGTCCCTTGATAGCTCCCGCAGAAAACTATTAAGCGAAATTTCCACTCTGGGAAAGCTGTTAATCGTCATGCCAGCAACCAATGCCGTTAGTGAAAGATCGTTTTCAACTTTAAAGCGGGTGAAGACGTATTTGCGCTCAATAACGGGAGACTCTAGACTGAACCACCTCATGATGTTGCATGTTCACAAGGACAGAACAGATGCTCTGACCCTTGTAGACGTAGCTAATGACATCGTTGGGGAGAAAGAAAACCGAAAGCAAATGTTTGGCAAATTTTCTGCGAACGATATCCCAAACAAGTTCTCTATTTCGTCAAAGTCAACACAAACGGAAAATTAGAGAGAAGAACTAAGGGCATTGTAGACAAATGTAGCTATGTGACATGTACCAAGAAGTATGCTTTAACCGAGGGACAGGAGCGGGGGGGGCAGTTAATGTGGGCCACTCGCTCAGCCCCCCCCCCCCCCCCCCCCCC